TAGACTTAGAAGAGCTCAGCTTAAAGGCTTGGCTAAATCTATATATTATATGAATTTATTATAATTAATCTACTGACTCAAAGACTACTTACGTTCAAGGAATTGCATGAATGAGCTCAAAATGAGAGTTATGTGCAAACACGCTTAGAATATATTACCAAATTCTATTGTTTCATCTTGTTGATAGATGAGTTGCGTTGTTATCAGCAAGCTTAAATCCTGAATAATTTCATTAAGAAGTTGAAAAGATTCTTTTACGTTTGCCTTGTGTTTATGATTAGCTGATATGAGATGTGAAAAAGCTATTTGAACAACTTTACCTTGCCGTGACGCGTCGATGAAATTAAAACACCTGGCTGCGTAACCTGCGAAGAAGAGGGCGAGGAGAAAACTTGGACTCATCTGGACGTTCAAAGAAGCCAACTTGTTTCAAAATAGTCCAGAAAAACTCTGAGGAATAATTAAATAAACAAAAGAAAGGTACTCGAGCTCTTACAATAAGCACGTAATCTACAAGTAATCTACATAAGAGAGATTACGTTACATGTCACGGGGAAGAGTCTTTTTTGCCAGGAGTGAGGAGGGCATGGGGAGGGTAAGTCCACGGTTGCGTGAAACAATGTCATATATTAAAAATGTTGGTCCAAAGAATAGCCAAAGCATAATAAATCCTGATAATAATAATTTGCTATCATTATCTTAATTTTTTGAGGGACAAAAAACTTTATAATTATCAGAGGAAGTTTAGGATAACCTCGTGTCCAGACTCCCAAAGCCTGTCGGGAAGTGGGAACGAATAGGGTTGTTGTGGTTGCAGAATTTGCTTGCGTCAATTAACCCTAAACGCATAATCTTGCAGCTTGTGGCAATTCATGAAGAAAATAGTCTTCGAGCCAAATCAATTTGATTCAGTCCAGCGCTTATCTCGCAGCAATTCAAAGCGGAAAAAAAATATCACTTGTAGGAATACTTACGACCAATCAGGAGTTATAATCCCTTAGAGCTTTTTTGGAGATTGCTTTAACTGTCTTATGCTTCGTTTTTGAATTGTTTGATATGAAGAACAAGTAATCCACGTCGCTTTCTGGTCGCATTAAAAGGACAGAAAACACTTTTTTTTTTCAAACTATTAAGACAACATTCGAGTTTATTATCTGCGTTAAGTTATGCAATTCAGATATGCTCGTTTCAATGAATTAATTCAGATAATTCGAATAAGAGGCGTGGAATAGAAGTCTTTGAATAGTTTTGGTGGTTTATAACATAAACCGCCTACACAAACGTTTTCTACGGTCAATACTTGCAATGACCCCAAAACTGAAAGTAACATCTTGCTACCATCTTATTTCCTACGCTTGCGATTTTTCATCAATGAAAGGAAGTTTGTGGACTCGTAAAGCTCCTTTAGTTACATTTTCGCTTTTTCTCCAAAGTAAAACTTCAACATTTTAACACTGGCCTCGATATCTCGAAACGCGTAAGTTATAACTTTTGTCCAGCTATGAATTCTCCTCTTTTCTTCTTTGATAAAAAAACGAATCATCGAATTTCGGACACCACCTCTTTCCTTAAGATTTCTCGTATACAGGCATCAATTTACAGCAAGTTTCTGTTGGTCCTCAGCGACCCATTAGAAAAGTGCATGTAAGGCATTTGTTTCGCTTGCGGCCGTAGGAGTGCTCTATGAAAATAACATCAATCCAGTCATTACTAATGTATTGCTGCTTACCTGAGCTGAACGCCACTAGAGTAATAAAAATCACAGAGAGAAATAAATTGGAGTGACCCATAGCTGTACGGTTGAGAGTTGAAACCAAATTTCCCTTTTAGAGAGCACTTATTTGTATCTTGTCTGTCGTAAGAGAACTAGAGAAACAGGCTTGTGGCGTTGACCCCCAACTGATCTTGCGGTTTTAAGAGCTTTGCGCCGGAAAAAAAAAATGCAAATTAGCTGGCTGCACATTCCAATCCAAAGCTCGTCATGGATGGAGTCTTAATGTCACGGGATCAGATGCGGGTAAAACCGCAAACGTTCACAAGCCTGTCTTATGTTTTCATTGTCAATAGACCTCTATGAAAACATGCAGTGATGTAGTGATAAAATATGGACCATTTTTTGGACCATTTTTTTTGGGACCATTTTATCGGGAAAAGGCAGCCTCTTAATACTTAGGGAGGGATGGGATGGAGTCTATCAGTACTCAGTACTCAGGAAGGAGTGGGAGGCAGATTGTTGTTACTAAGGAAGGGGTCGAGGACGAACTACAAGTACGCAGGGAGGGGTGGGAGGTTGTTGTATCAGAAAATGCTGCTGATTATAGGAATTTTCACTGGATCATAACATTATTATTAGCCGTTTTTTTCGAATGACTATTTTCATGTCATTTTTTTGCGCCGGGCCTTAGCGTTTCTTTATATTTTTGTCATGCGAATGCGAAACTGTAACAACAGTCTGCCTCCCACCCCTTCCTGAGCACTGATAGACTGAGTCCAACTCCTCCGTTAATACTACTGATCTGCCTCACCCCGATAAAATGGTCCAAAAATTGGTCCACAAAAAGGTCCAAACAATGGTCCCAAAAATGGACTGAATGAGAAAATTATTGTTTATTTTTTTCTAGATTTCGCTCCTCCAAACGGCCATGTAATACTGTTTTGTCATATAAACATAAAGGAAAAACCGAACCATTTCATTTGCATGCGATTTATTTTGTAACAATAGCGTCCGTGCGGTATTCACATATAAAAATAACGATAGGCATGTCACATGTTCGTGAGGAAGCTCTTCTACTAATTCACTATTATGCGTATAATGAAAAGAGGATATTACATGGCCGCATGGAGATACGAGTGACTCTCTCTTGATGAAAAGGCAATCCATTCTACTTTAACTGCGAAAGGCACAACTGTTATTCAACCGCAGAGACCATGTTATTTGCAAGTTTTTGCGCGGAAGGTCACGTGGTATTTCACTGCCGTTGTTCTAATTCATTTCCTTGCAGAAAAATGTTAGAACTTTGGAATTCTGGTACATCTGAGCACAGTATAGAAGACCAAGACGTCGTTAACAGAAACCATACAGAGGGACATTTAACCTCTTTTAAGTTCTACTGATTTGTTTGTCAATAAATTTAATTTGAAATTAGAAGCTTAAAAATCTAGAGGTGGAAAACTGACAGTCTCTTCAATTTAATGTAATTATTTTGACAAATCATTATTGGGAACGACATATTATGTTTACAATATACGAACTCTTTTAAAAATTTTCCACAGTACATCATTTACGATACATCACTTTAAATGATGATAACACGTGGCATTGAATGACAAAAATGAATAAATAATTCAGTTAGCTGTAGAAATATGCGGATTTGGGTTCCTTTTTCCAGTTTCTTTGTCTGTTTACAATGAGAGTGTAAATTCCTGATTTTAATTTATCAACCCTTTCCTTCTCTTTCCAAAGTGAATTTTTACAAACGTTAAAATTGGTTCTAATTTTTGCGATATTTACAGGCATTTAATTAATATTCTTGGTTTTGTCTATTGTTAATGACGAATGAAAAAGTTCTGCCATCACAATAGACAAAACTTGCAAAACATTTCACATTTTCTATACATTCTTCTTTAACTTTTCATTTTTTTTTTGACACCTCTGGTTTTGTTGTGGTTCTTTAAACTTTTTTTTACAAAAAGTACATTATCGCTTGGCTCGTGAAATTTATACTTCAAGCGTAGCACTTCCTTGGTTCCGGCGTCTGTCACGCCTCCTTAAATGAAATATATACCCCCCTGCAAGGATCAGGAGTGATAAAAACACGTAAGTTATCACTTCGTAGGGATCACTTCCTCGACCTCCCTGTTTATCTGCAAAACACAAAATTGATTAAGTATTATAATTAAGTATGAAAATTAATTATTAATCAAAAATTGAATATATCAAGTGTAATAATGAGTCATCCCCATGGTAACGAAAAAATGACGATGCAGGGACTAGAATTGGTCCAAAACTAAACAAGACAAAAAAAGCAACAAAACAAAACAAAAACGCAAAAAAACAAAAAACTTAAAGTTAGAAGAAACAAAACAAAGTGAATAAATACAGAAAAAGGAAAAACAAAACACAATAAAAAACAAAACAAAACAAATATAGAAAAGCAGAAACGCTCACAATGAAGACAAACGCAGGACCAAAAAAATGTCAAACAAATGAAAAAAAATCGAAAATTAAATTTAGTAAATACCTATTGGTGTCGGCAACGTTGAATTTTGAAATTCTGCAAAATAAATGCACACAAAACAAGAAGATCAAATTAAAATGACCATAGGACCGAGTGGCGGCGATTGGATCTGTAATCCTAGATTTGTTTCAAAATCGGACGACGGTGAAGCGGACTCATTAAGGCTGACTACATAAGATGAATAGTACGGTTCTACCATGAGTACAGATGATAAAAACTCATCATTTTTTCAACAATGGAAACAGATTTTTCGTGATATACGTTTACGTTTTTAGTTTATGTTATTTGTTATATATATATATATATATATATATATATATATATATATATATATATATATATATATATATATAAATATTATGAGAGGAAAAAAGGACGCAACTACATTTCCCGACAAGCCTGTTTCGTGAATCGCTTCACTCTTCAGGGGTTTAATCGAGAGAGTGAAGCGATTCACGAAACAGGCTTGTCGGGAAATGTAGTTGCGTCCTTTTTTCCTTTCATAATATTTATTCTGCACTGCTTCAACGTATTGAGCACTGCTCCACGCGAAAATCGACTTGCAGACTTCTTATATATATATATATATATATATATATATTTATTTATTTTTTATTGTTGGTTTTTTTGGTCAATTCTTGAGGAAGTTTGTTTGGTTTTCGATTACCGTTAATTTAATTGAAGTAAGTTCAAGAAGTAAAGAGTTGGAAACTCGCTTGCTTGTATTAAAAATTAGTTTTGTGCCATTTCAAGGTCAAAGAATTAAAACTCACCGATGACATTTACTTGCACCTCATAACTATCACTTCCTAGAAGATTTGTAGCCGTGCAATTGTATTTTCCTTCGTCGTTTTTAGTGACGTTTCTTAGCACCAAACTTGTGCTTTCTTCAATTGATCTGTTTTGAAGAACTTGCTCGTCACGAAACCAGATTACCCGGGGAGAAGGATAACCAGTTGCATCGAAGTCTAAATGTAGAGTCATTCCTTGGACCACCGCGAACAGTTGTGGGCTATTTATATTCAATTTGGGCCTCTCTGAAAAAGAGGAGAACAAAGTTTTGTAAGCCTAATTAAATATTGATTAAAAACGGTGATGTTTTTTTTCCTTTCCTGCGTTCTATTTATCTGTCTCCTACGTGCATAAGCGAATGAAGGGGAAGAAAGGGAGGTAGTAGTCGAAAAGTAATTTCCACGATAAATGCTTTGTTTTTCGACAGACAAAGTCGTACCTTTAGCTATTTGAATGACAGTTGTGTTTTCTCCCGCTCCAATTAACGGAACCATTAATATGCACCAGACCACCATTCCGTCATACTTTGATGACATCTTTCGTACAGTCAATGTTCCATTCATGCTAACTTTATATTCCTTCGGGTAGTAATTGAATATCGTGTTGTTTTCGATCCGTGCAATTATGAATCTGTCCCGGCTTTCATCTCTGCATTGCCTCATTGTGGGACACATATATAAACCCTTTGACTCGCTGTCCGACTGGGGAAGATCATCTCTGTTTATCACGCAATGTATCCCTACGTCCTTTGCATTATTTTCAACAACGATCTTGTTCTCTGCATTATTGATATCTGATCCTGTCGAGGGAGTGTAGAGATAAAAAAGGAAGTTAGCAATTTTACCGTGCACTCATGTGATTCCTATGGGAGTGGTCATTTATAACGCGGGAGACGGGGTTGGGGGTTGGATGGGGGGGGAGAAATTTGGTTATGTCACAACACCCCTGAAAGCCATGTTATTACCCCCAAAACATCCTCTGATCCTCCCCCCCCTCCCCATCCCATCGCGAATCGCTTGTGGAATATGTGTTATTTGATTAGCCAGCAAATGTTGCTTTAAATGGTAATGAAGGAGACTCCTTTTATGAAATCAGTTCGTCGCAATCGTATTTATCTTCTACAAATAGTTTTACTCTTGAATTGCTCTCAGTAGGTTTTGCAGACAATAGTTATACACTCTTTGGCTTTGTTCGAGTATAATTTGAGAGTACTAGGAGTCTTTTATTTTGAGTCTTTGCATTCTGATTGCATAAAACCGCAGTTTGGGTTAGACCTCGCGTAAATAACCGGCCGTGTATACATCGCTGAATTCATGATAGTCTCACGTCAAGTCTAAATTTATCACGCCATCCGCAGTCAGAATTGTTCAATTGAAATGTCTTTGTTGGTAAATATTTGTTGGGAAACGCATTTGTAATACGGAAGAATACAAGCTCAACTGAACTAAAAGTGGTCCTTCTAAAAAATTAACCGAGCGACGGAAGATAATTGTAGCCTCAAATCATCGTGCGTAGTCAACAAGTTTAAGCACATTGTTTTCGAAGTCGCGACAAATTTCAATTAAAAGCGTCTGTTGAGAACCGGCCATCTGGAAACGCGTGCTTAATGTCTCAATTCTCCTTAAGATTATATTACCTGCCCAATATCGGTAAAAATGAGGGTTAACTACATTTTTGTCCAACTTTTGTCTCGAAGAGGCAACCCGGTCTTTCTATCTCAATAAGAAGACGTCGTATGTTTAAACCTAACGGTACAGCGGAGAAGTAAAAGGAAACTTCATTGTAGCCAAAACTTTCTTGTCAACGTCAGGAAACAATAGAGTCTTAGAAATTTGTGGTTTTCTGCTATTGTTAGAACATCAAAATGTGTTCGTAAACCTGTCGTGAAATTTCGCTCAGCATGAGTCCACTACGTCATCACATGGCTGTCAGAATCCAAATACAACTCATCGCCCTCTACAGTGAGCAAGGCCAGTACTAAGTTATAAATTTGGAGATTTCGAAACGATTTCGTTATTTTATGTGTACGTACCAAAACTTCATTCGACCCGCGGGTGATGTTAATTCTTTCACCGCCGCTTTATTCACCAAACGTCTCGAATATGGATTGCTCTCATGTGGACCAGGCATGTGAACAATGTCAAAACATAGAGCCATTAATTTGAGCCCCCTACGGCTTATACTATTTTGCGAAACGAAACGAAACGAAACGAAATCAGGTGAGATAGAACAAAACTAAAGGAACAATGCAGATATAATTTCTAACAAGGTAAAGAAAACTTTCACAAGGAATTTGGAGTAATCGTTCATTAACAAGAAGGATTTTTATTCATTTCGCAAAATAGTAATTTTAGGAGCATTACTATTTTGCGAAATGGAATTTTTCACCCTGCGGTGACAACGTGACCTCTTTCATGTCGCAAAAATACATTGAAACATTACAAATTAGTGTATCAACGAAGATTTTGACCTCCTCTTATTTCTTAAACCGTATTAAAATGTATTTCGCAAAATAGTAATTTTAGGAGAGTTACTATTTTGCGAAATGGACAATTTTAACCCAGCGGTGACTAACGTAACCTCTTTTATGTCATAAAAATATATTTAAACATTAAAAATTAGTATATCAACGAAGATTTTGGCCTCCTCTTATTTCTTAAACCGTATTAAAATGTATTCCTTCGGGAAAAATACATTTTAATACGGTTTAAGAAATAAGAGGAGGCCAAAATCTACGTTGATATACTAATTTGTAATGTTTAGATGTATTCTCGTGACATGAAAGAGGTCACGTTGTCACCGCAGGGGTGAAAATGGTCCATTTCGCAAAATAGTAACTCTCATAAAATTACTATTTTGCGAAATATATTTTAATACGGTTTAAGAAATAAGAGGAGGCCAAAATCTTCGTTGATATACTAATTTGTAATGTTTCAATGTATTTTTGCGACATGAAAGAGGTCACGTTGTCACCGCAGGGTGAAAAATTCCATTTCCATTCCATAGCAACTCTCCTAAAATTACTATTTTGCGAAATACATTTTAAGACGGTTTAAGAAATAAGAGGAGGCCAAAATCTACGTTGATATACTAATTTGTAATGTTTAGATGTATTCTCGTGACATGAAAGAGGTCACGTTGTCACCGCAGTGGTGAAAATGGTCCATTTCGCAAAATAGTAAGGCCTAGTTCAAACGTCGATCTTTACATGTACCAAACCTAATTGCAATTTGGGTCGACTCGAATAATTAAGAGCGGCAGTTGATTCAAACGTCGATCCGAATTTAGTCGATCCTAATTGCAAAACTGAACATAACTCCATTGTAGTCAGCGGTTAATGCCTACCAAAATGGCGGAAAAAAATGCGGGAAGCACAACTTGTGGAAATGAAGAGCTTGTTTTTCTTGCAAATGCGATTAAGGAGGGTAGAAAAAGGCGACTCAAGATGCAGTTAGCATTAAACAACCTTGCTGCCAGGAGAAGACGAGTTTTGAATTTGGCTTGCCTTCTATTATTGCTTATTTCCCAAAGGAACATCACAGTTCCTCGTCCAGTTCGTTCGTGTCGTCGACTGAAAAGAAATTCTGGCTGGTGGATCTGAACAAGAGGAGCACGAGCCTTCCTCCTTTCCCGCCATATTGTTTGAATGGTTCGAAGGCTTTCGCGCATGGCACGTAAGCGAACTTTCTTGAATTGTGGGTAAAACATAATTATTTTAACGTATGTATAATGTATGCATTAAGTTCGGTACATGTAAAGTACGACGTATGAATCAATGCCGATCTTTTACCGTTCTATCCGACTAGCCGAGTCGGATAGAACGGCACTGTCGATCCGAATACAAATCTGCCGATCCTAATTGATTCAAACGTCGATCTTTACATTTACTTAATAGAAACGTTAGGTTCGGTACATGTAAAGATCGACGTTTGAACTAGGCCTAACTCTCCTAAAATTACTATTTTGCGAAATATATTTTAATACGGTTTAAGAAATAAGAGGAGGCCAAAATCTTTGTTGATATACTAATTTGTAATGTTTAAATGTATTTTCGCGACATGAAAGAGGTCACGTTGTCACCGCAGGGTGAAAATAGTCCATTTCGCAAAATAGTAACTCTCCTAAAATTACTATTTTGCGAAATGAATAAAAATCCTTGTTGTTAATGAACGATTACTCCAAAATCATTGTGAAAGTTATCTTAACCTTATTAGAAAATATATCTGCATTATTCCTTTTGTTTTATTTCATCTGACCCGATTTCGTTTCGTTTCGTTTCGTTTCGTTTCGCAAAATAGTATAAGCCGCCCCCTACAATTGTTCAGCAATAAAGTGCTGAAGATGACAGTGTGCTGTGATGTACTACCGCTTACCTGAGGTTAAAACCACCAGCGTACAGAAAACCACTGGGAGAAACAACATAGTCGTGCGGTCGAGAGTTAAACCAATTTTCTTTTACTGTAGAACTAAAGCGCTACTGGTGTGAAACCGATTGCACAAGCTCATGAAAGTGTGGCTTTTATAGCCATGTGATGATATAATTAAATGCTTGCCCTCTTGACCAATATTCACAAGATCATTGGTACGCCCACACGATGGCAAATGTGATTGAAGTCCTCCTTTTATTAGCCTCAAAATTGTTGTTTTTGAAAGCAAACATCTGTTGGAAAATCATACTCGCGCGGAATGTGCACAGTAAGCTAAGTTGTAACTGCTTCGCAAAGTAGGGAAGGTCCCTAACGTTTCGTCCTGACGTTCTGTAAAAATAAGAAAAAAAAAGGGAAGAAACCAGAAAAATTATTCTCATTGGGTCCTTTAACGATCTGCAAAAATTTTTTATGTTTTATAAATTGAGGGTCGCTCTTATTTTACGCTACTTGTTGATCGATATTATTAGTTTTTTCTTAAACAAACCATAAAAGCTTCAGCGTGCATGTTAACAACAGATTAACTTTGTTAACGTTAACTTCACTTGACCGGAAAATTACTTATCAAAGATAACGTCGTTCCCGTCTAGACAGTTTCATATTTCAATATTGAAGAGACAGTCAACTTTAGGAAGAGCTTATTAAAAACTGGAATGAATCACGTTTCACAACCGACTTTCAACGAAGTGCGTGCTTCGCTTTGTTTTTATCACCTGGAATTTTACCAATCAAATATTGAAAAGCGAAGACTGAGGACCTATTGTGTAAACGAAAACGACCTATCGCCTTTGTAGTGTGGCTCACACAAAGTGTATGGCCATATTGTGGCATGATCGGATTCATTTATTTATTTGTCCACGAGAGTCGAGCGCCTGTCACGTGGTCTAGTATCATACGGCGCACTAGTCTGAGTCAGTCATCTTGGTGTAAGCGTGGTCTCGAGTAACCTTTTTCAGGTGATCGTATCACGAGTTAGTTCTCCTCACACAGACCAACACACGCAAACCCGGCTTGTGTTTTACGTGCAGCTTGTGCAAGAGCCTTTACACTCTAAAAAGACAACATTCGGCTTGATCCATCGGTGTGGGTTACACCACTGAGTGTCTGAAAGTGTTTGAAAGTGTCTGAAGCCTCCTGGAAGTGCCATGAAGTGAAAAACAGTTGTATTGTAGTTGCATTCTCCTTGCACTGTCGAGAATTCACAGAGGCATATTTCAAAACGACAAAAGTAAGTATGGGAATCTCGATTGAACAAAACCGGTCAAGGATTGGCTCTCATGACAATTTCGTGAAAACAAAGGATATCTTAACACGTTTTGAGGACCTTTTTTGGAGTTTAATGCTTATCATGATCTATTTAAATGTTTTTTACT